CCCAAGGAAGTGACACTGCTGGAAAACCACTTTGCAATTACAAAAGTGTTAGGTGCAGAACTGGTAGCGAGAGGTACAACGTAGCTGTCTGCGTGACTTACCATTAGAGAGTCATGTAACAGAAGATCTTGCATTGCTTTCAGTGCAGTGTGGCTGTAGTGTCAGAAAATACCAAGTTTTTATCTTCTTCTCATCTTCAGAAAAGACAAGTAAATTAATGAGTCTTTTGGTGATGTGGACTTTGTTTACAAAGAGGTAGACTGTGATTCTCAGCCCATTTCATGCAGGGCTCACCAAATGATAGTGGATTTGCAGTAATAATCATCTGGGACTAGATTGGAATTCTCATGCTAGAGTTTAAAGGCTTAATAATTCATACCTAACCCCAAGAGCCATTTAGCTTCTCCATCCTGTCCTCTAGGTTCTGAAACTTGAGTGTGCATCAGAATTACCTGGGCAGCTTGCTTGAAATGCAGGTTGCTGGGCCTTACCTCACACCTGCCAAATCAAAATCTCTGGGGGTGGGGCGAGACTGCACCTGTAAGAAGAACTCCAGGTGTTTGTGATGCAGATGGGCTGTGGACCACACTGTGGAGAAGTTGTCTGGTAATGGCAAACTGTCAGTTGGTCAGAATGCACAGTGGGAGGAGTGTCAGTTTGGTTGTGGGCAGAGTTGGCAGGGTTCAGGCTCTCACTCCTGGGACTGAATCATGTAACTTACCTTTTGCTTCTGCAGATGAGTCAGGAGATGAAGAGTCTGTCTCGCAAACTGACAAGACAGAGCTGCAGAACACCCTCCGGACCCTGACCAGCAAAGTGGAAGACCTGAGCACATGCAACGACCTGATAGCCAAGCACGGCACGGCACTGCAGCGCTCCCTCAGTGAGCTAGAGTCCCTGCGGCTGCCCGCCGAGAGCAACGAAAAGATCAAGCAGGTCAATGAACGGGCCACACTCTTCAGGATCACATCCAATGCCATGATCAATGTAAGTGCAAATGGTGTCTTTTTTGCTTTTGATTCTCTCCCTCTTTCAAAATGTGATTCTTCCCAGGGAAACTAATTGATAAAGCACAGAACAGTAGGTCCTGCTTTGCTGCTGGGGGCACTGAAGTTACATTGTTGCATGGAGTAGAACAGGATGCACAGATGGAATGACTTTCCTGCTCTGCTCAAATCATCAGGAGAACACGGCTCCAGCCAGGGAGTTAGTTAGGAGTCCAGATTTCAGCCCTGCTCTGGCACCAGCAGGACATCCGAGGGTGATGTTAATTGTATCTTTTAACCTCTCTGGGTTGCGGTTTTATTTATTGTGATCTCACTTTATCTGTTGCAACAAAAAGATCTCATGGTTCCTTCCCACTGTCAAGTTCTTTGAGCTTTAGGTTTGAGTCTGGTCCCTTCATTGCTAATGTATTCTGGCCTACAGTGTGGTAAATAGAGTTGGATCAAGTACTAGTGAGGACTTTATAATACTAGTTATTCCCATATTTACTCCTTGGTTTCAGGGGTAGTTTGGGGTGATAAGACAAAACACTCAGCTTTGGGCACTTTTGTTTAAAAAGAAGGGGCCAGTGCTCTGCCTCCTTATGACTTCTGCCTTGGTGGCTGTTGTTGGTTTGTGGTACTTCTGCTGCTTGACTGCAAGACTCTAGGTAAAGCCAAATCCCCAGGGGCATTAATGATGCATTTCAGGTGCTGGGCGCACAGTATGAAATTAATACATGGTTTAAACAATGCTGTTTTTCCTCTGCGGGTGGCTGATTCTCACCTGGCAGGTTGTTTTAGCAGCTCCCACATGAGAACTTTAGAAGACATTTCATAATGCAAGTGAGAAGGGGCCTCTGTGAGAAAGGGCTTATGCAGGTGTTTTTTTTTCTTATCTTATTAAATGGGATGAAATTACTTCACTAGGGCCTGATTTTCCCTTGTTGGGGGAGTGATAATAGACATTTGCTTAGAACTAGTGTGATTCTCGTGGCTCGTACAGATCAAAGGTGTGCCCTGTGACCAAGGAGATGGCTAATATTTCTCATTTAAAACCCCTTTGTTACTTCATATCATTTTCTAAGTACAGAGCACTTTCTTCAGAGCTCTGACTCACAAAAGGTAGAAGGGACAGTTATTTTGCCCACCGCAAGAAGGTCCGCTGCCTCCAGGAGTGCTTATCAGTACTGACGCTGCGTTTCCCACGCACTCTTTCTCCAGACAGTGCACTTCTTAGAGACTGCCTGCTTTTCTGGTCCTCCCGTGATCCTTCCTGATAATCCAGGAAAGGAGCAGAAGCCATCCAGGTCAATTAGTCAACAGCGAATAAGTCACAGAAAAGCTGGAGACACGGGTCTCCTGGTCGCAGATGTTGCCTCTTACCCTGTCAGATGAGCACCCTGCTCCATGGCAGCTTTTTGCTACCCTTGATGTGGAGAATCTGCTAAATAAGACACCTCTTCATTGAAAAATTTCTCATAAAACTGAAAGTTTCGTTTGGACTTTACTATTGAAACTATGCTCATCTTTGTTCCTCGGGCAATTCTTCCCTGAGTTGTGAGGGTCCAGAGTTTATGTCAAAGGGGATGACTGCGTGGGCGTCAGAGGAAAGCTGTGTCGTAGCCTGTCCTCCCGGCCTGTACCCTTTCATCACTAGTTATTGCTTAAAAGGCGTTTTTTATACCTGTCTTGTTTCCTTTGTGCCTGTTAGGTGATAGGGGCAAGGCCTGTAGTGAAATATGCATGTCAGAGATTACAGTCCTAGCGCATCACGTCTCCAAAGGGGCATATATATCAAAGGAAGAAGACGTTTTACTCAATTTCATAGGATATAGCTTTTCTTGCTACCAGCGTGAATCTAACCAGGGGAGTAAATCTGACGCTATTAGCGTATCCATTTGCTAATTCAGTGAACATCTACCTCGCAGCTTCTGTCTTCTAGGCACTATGCTAGGGGATATAAAACAGATGTGGTATGGTCCCTGCCCTCAGGGAGATTACTCTATGAGGGGACAGAGAAGCTACCAGATCAGTTTGGCCTGTCCTGAGTGCCTGACAGAAATGAGCACAGGCTGCTGTGGCATAGCACGTTGGAGGCCTTCCACTCAGACTGGAAGAACTTTGAATTCAGCTAAATTCTGAAAGACCAGAGAGCCCTCCTGTGAAAAAAGACAATATAGAGCTGGGGGCCCTAAAGTCCAGCTGCCTTGGTTAACTGTATAACCTGCTTCTTCCGTGACCTCAGCTCCTTTTCTGTAAGTGATGATGATACTAGTAAACTGCTTACAAGATTGTTGAAAGGCTTTTATCACATAATTGGTATAAAGTGTTCAGCAAATGCCAAACATATAATTGTCTCTTACTAAGCTTTAGCTGTGATCAACATCATTAAAAGAAAGTGGGGGAGAAGAGTCAATCCAGGTAGAGGTGTGGCATGTGGGGATCCCTCCCTCTCTCCCCAAACCTGTAACTGCTGGTAGTTGACTGTTAGAGGAGCAGGGTAGTAGCTAGAGAGAAGCTGGAAAGGAATTGAGTGTGAGGAGGGGATGGGGTGCAGATCACACTAAATGGGCTTGGTCGTTGGTAGTGCATTAAAAGAGAACAAGGTTGATTTTGGCGCAGGCTTAGTATCATTGCTAACACCTATTGAATGCTTACTGTGAGCCGTATGCTTCTAAACGCTTTACACGTAAAGCAACAACTCTTGAGGTAGTTACTGTTTACAGATGAGGAAGATGAAGCACAAAGAGGTTAAACTACTTGCCCAGAGTTTCATAGCTAGGCAGTGAGATGGAGCTGTGATTAGAGCCCCAACAACCCAACTCCAGTGCATGTGCTCTGTACTACCTGAGTATGGAGGGTGGAGAGAAGTGTGCAGATTCCAGAAACATTAAGGAAGAATCGATAGGACTATATAGTCAGATGTGGGGGGGACTGAAAACTCAGAATCAACTATGCTTCTGGGTTTTCTGGCTTGGGCATGTGGAAGGGCCCTGGAGCTATGGTGCCATGGGGAACACTGAGGGAGAAGCTGAGTCAGAGAGGGAACATGGTGAGTTCAGCTCGGGACCCACAGATTTTGAGATTACTGTGAGCCACTGACTAGGCAACTGGATATTCTGGTCTGAAACTCCATGAGCACAGAGCTGGAATTACTGATTTCATAGTCATTAGCCTAGAGGCAGCAGTCGAAACCATGGGTGTAGAAATTTCATTTACCTTCTAGTTTTTCTAGAACAGGGCATTGACTTTTAAGATTACATTGTTTAATTTTTTTCATTTATTTATTAAGCAAACTTTTATCAGGCTCCTGCTATGTACAAAGCAACTTAGGAGCTGAAGATATGTATACGAATTAACTATAAACTGTGTGTCTTCAAGTTGTGTGTGATCCGTCTGGAGAGACCGCACATCAGTCATGCTGCTGTGGCTGGTGTAGGATAGAGTTGTGCCAAGTGCTGTGGAAATGTACAGCAGAGACTGGCTGCATAGGCCTCTGGGGGGAAGTGTCACGGAAGAATAACATTTGCCATAGATCTGAAACAATGAAGAGGTCTTGACCAAGTAGAGAAAAGGGGTAGGAGAGAACATTCTAGGCAGAGCGAATGGCATCTGCTATGATAGTAGGCAGGCCCAAAAGAAATCTCTCCCTCCAGGAAGAGGTTGAGCAGTTCAGGGTGATTCCACGGGAGGGTGCAGGAGCCCGGCGAGGAAGATACGAGGCAGGTGGGGACCCTGCTGTGAAGGGCCCTTTATGTTCATTTCCGGTGATTAGGATTTGGCCTCAATACCAGCAGGGAGCCAGTGATATGATCACATTAGTGTTTTGTTTAGAGAGCCTTCCTTTGATTCCCCAGGTAGGCTTCTAATTTTTATGGTCAGTTGTTTCTCTTAGTGACCAAAATAAAAACAAATTCCATTTCCCTGCATTTGTTCAATTCAGTGCAGATTCTCTGCTCTTAGTGTCTGAATTCCTCAGCTTTAGGCGACTTGGGCTTAGTCAGGAATTTATTGAAAGCTGTCATCCTCTGCTTTTCCTCACCTTTCTTTCAGTGGATAGATTTCTTTCCTTCCGGTGTAGTTCACATAGCTGCCCTCTGTGATGCTGCCACAAATACTTTGTCTAGGTTTACTGCTCACTTGGCATTTGGTTGTTCCTCATGACCAGGAAAATATGAGAGAGCCGTGACAACCGTGCTTTTTTCCCCTCTGGAGTCGACCTTCATTGCCTCATGGAGCTGGCTGTCCCTGACACTGGGGAATGACAGGGAAAGTCTTTCATTGTAATCTGCCTGTTGAAGTTCCCAGGATAAGGTTACTTAATGGGCTCACAGAGCCTGAGGGATGTCACTGACTAGCTGAGTGAATGTTAACCCTAACTCTTTCCCCTACAGGCCTGCAGAGATTTCCTTATGTTAGCTCAGACCCATAGTAAAAAATGGCAGAAATCACTACAGTATGAGCGAGACCAGCGGATCCGGCTAGAAGAGACCTTGGAGCAGCTGGCGAAGCAGCATAATCACCTGGAGCGGGCCTTCCGAGGAGCCACAGTGCTGCCAGCACATGCTCCTGGCAGTGCGGGTCCTGGCAAAGGTAAGATGCTGGGCCTTTGCGTAGTTGGTTCTAAGAGGAGCCAGGGCGTTTCTGCAATTGGTAGAAGAACTCCGAATTCTCCGGAATCAGTGACTCATGTGAAATGCAGTTGGAGCCATGGATTTCTTCTGGCTTTTCCACTGGTTTCTACTATTTGTGGCTATGTTTGTGATTAGCATTTAAAGTTCCCACTGTGCCAGGTTTTCACCAAAGCGAATGAACAAGGCTATTCCCCTTCCAGATCAATGCTGCTCTGGCAAAGGAGACATGAGTGACGAAGATGATGAGAATGAATTTTTTGATGCTCCTGAGATCATCACCACGCCTGAAAGTTTGGGCCACAAGTGAGTTACCTTTGACTCCCAATAAGAATGAACACGCCTGACCATCAGCAGGTTAGAAATGCTTCAGGGGTGTATCATAATTGTCAATATTTACTGAGATCTAAGCTCTTTCCTTAAGTAAGTGGAAAACTGTTAGCTTTTTTACCTGACCAGGTTGTCCAGAGATGTTTAAATTCATACGTATTTTATTCTGCGTGTCATTGGATCATCCATTGATAAGTTTGTGTAGCATGCTTAGCGTTCTGCTTTGTAAAGACATGGCAGGACCCAACTCTAGTGCCCGTCTTTGTTCTAATTCTCACACATTTCCCATCCATGTAGGCGTACTGGCAGCAACATCAGTGGAGCCAGCAGTGACATCAGCCTTGATGAACAGGTAACTCTTATTTGGGAGTTACCTGAAGTGAGGGCCTCGAGGGGTGATTCCCAAGGATTTGCCGGTAAAGCACTAAGAGAAACAGAAAGTACTGATTGGGTTTTTTGTTTGTTTGTTTTAAAATATTTTTTAGCATGGGGGAAGGGAAGGTTATAAATACGAGGCTTTCTGTCCTTTTTGGGAGATTGAATGGCTTTGTTTTGTTCTTAGTACAAGCATCAGCTGGAAGAGACCAAGAAGGAAAAGAGAACTAGAATACCATACAAACCAAACTATAGCCTCAACTTGTGGAGCATCATGAAGAACTGCATCGGAAAGGAACTCTCTAAGATCCCCATGCCGGTGAGGTTCTCACACCAGGCTTCAGTGGGAGGAAGGTGGCCTGGCAGCCCCTCCCACGGCTATAGCAATGTGTGCGTGGCCTTTGTTACCCCTAGAGTTATACACTATCCCTTACAATGATTTGCTTCTGTGTGAGCTGTGGGTCTGCTGTGTTCCCAGATCACCTAGAATCAGATGCGTTTGGTCAGTAGTTTATTTAAGAGCAGGTTCCTATGTTAGCCGTGCAAAGATAATTGTTCCATTTTCAAGAAATGTGCAGTTTAAAGGAGACAGGCATGAAAACAGGTAAAAAGTATTGTTTTCTGTGATAGTGTTGTTTGAAGTACTGTACATACAAAGGTTTCGGGAGCATAGAAGCAAAAACATTCAGTCTAGTCAGGCAGGTGAGGACCTTCATCATGGTAAGATGGTGTTTGGGCTGACCTCCCTGCCTCCAGTCAGACCCTCTTTCGCTCTGTCCACAGTGTTGCCCGAGTGACCTTTTTATTTCATGTCACTCCTGAGCTGAAAACCCTTTACTAGGTCTTTGTGGCTTTGAGAGTAGACCAGATTCCTTGGTGGACTTGCAGCTCCTCCCCGAGGACAGGCTGTGCCCACACGTTCAGTGTTCTGGTCAGTCATTGGGAATTCCCCTCAGGTACTCAGAGGCATCTTGGCTTTCCCTGCAGGGCATTTGCACACACTGCTCTTTCTGCTCAAAATTTTGGCAGCTCCCCACCCACCCTTGCCTTTTTTTTTTTTTTTTTTTTTATTAAATTTT